AGACTCAAGAACCTGAACAAGTATCCCAACACGTGGGACTATAATGTTAGATTTGAACATGCAAGTTGAGCTGGTTATGCATAAAGATGAGAAGTGGAATGCAAGAATTGTGAAAAAGATTATGCTTACCAAAGCTTTAATGTTCTTGCCAATTTGAACTGGAGTCCTTAGCAATCTGTCCGTAGCAGCAGCACCAACAGTCAAAATCCAAGGAGCCCCGTTAGTTAACGAACTCAAATCGGGCCCATTATTTCCGGCGGAACAGCTTGTCAAGATACCTTTCTTCATGGCATGAAATGAACCGATTGCTATCGGGTCAGCAAAAAAATCCGGGGCAGGCCCGCCAACGGACATTGATATTATGTCAACACCATCGTCAGTGGCATCGTCAAATGCAGCAAGGATAGCAACATCGCTGCAGCCACTAACATCACAGATCTTATAGACAGCAATGCGTGCTGAGGGAACACCTCCTCGAGCTGTGCCTTGTCCTAAGCCATAGAAACTTGCATCTTGGACCGGAACGCCAGCTACTATGGACGCAGTGTGAGATCCATGGCCTACGTCATCAGCAGCTGATACATTCTTACTAGACCCAAAGCTATATGCCCTTGCTCCTATCACCTTGCTGTGATCGAGAGATGCATTTTAAATTAGAGACATTAAGTAACGATAAACAAGATCGCAAGTAGACATTAAGGGAACTTTGGATCTCAATTATTTTAAATAAAATCATAATTGTTAGTTAACATCTGAATTGTTCAATAAATTAATTTTAAAAATTATTTAGAAAAAGAAAGAAGAGAGATTTCATTTAATTACTTGTTGCAGCCAGTAAAGTTGACTCCTGTTTGGCAGACGCCTTTCCATTTTGATGGAGGTGGCCCAAATCCTTTGTCATCAAAGCTTGGAGCATCAATATAAATTCCTGGAGAATACCCAAGCATTTGCCGGTTAATCACATATTATTTATTAGTCCAAAAGAATCATGATAACAAGAAAGGAAAGATTCAAGCATCCTTCTTCAAATGCTCAAACGATACCTGAGTCTAGCATGCCAACAATTATATCACTCTCTTTTTGGGTATTTCTTTTAACTGATATAGGCATGTCTATGAAATCCCATGATCTTGTTGTTTGAAGCTGTCTGAAACTGTTTGGGAACACGGAAACCACATTTTCATTCTCTGGAAACAATGCGACAAAAGAATTAGTTAAAAACGCATATGGTCAGGAAAACAGGAAACTGCAAATACTATATCTCTCATATGTAATCTAAATCTGGTATAAATTAACCTTGTAGTCTTGCAACTTCATCTGGCGTCAAATATGCAGCAAATCCATTGAAACTTT